AATGCTTCGAGAAGCTGGTCAGGGACTTCATCTGCTCTGCACTACCCGACTCACTGGACCCTCTACAGTTCGCATACCGCCACAACAGGTCCACTGATGATGCCATAGCCCTGACACTACACACTGCCCTGTCACACCTGGAGAAGAGAGACACGTATGTGAGAATGCTGTTTGTAGATTACAGCTCAGCATTCAATACCATCGTTCCCTCGAAGCTGGACAGGAAACTGCAGGATCTAGGACTGAGCAGCTCCCTCTGCAGCTGGATCCTTAGCTTCCTGTCTGACAGACGCCAAGTGGTCAGACTGGGCAGCATCACCTCATCCCCCATCACACTGAACACTGGTGCTCCACAGGGGTGTGTACTGAGCCCTCTCCTGTACTCACTCTACACCTACGACTGCACAGCCACTAACAACTCCAACATCATTGTGAAGTTTGCGGACGACACTACAGTGGTGGGTCTTATCACCAACGGTGATGAGACGGCTTACAGGGAGGAGGTCAGCGCCCTGACCCACTGGTGTCAAGACAACCATCTCACCCTCAACGTCGCAAAGACAAAGGAGTTGATAGTGGACTTCCGGAGGTGCAGAGAAGTACACACCCCCATCACCATCAACGGCGCTGCTGTGGAGAGAGTGAGCAGCTTCCGGTTCCTTGGTGTACATCTGGCTGAGGATCTTACGTGGTCAGTACACACAAACAAAACAGTGAAGAAGGCGCAGCAGCGCCTCTTCTTTCTCAGGAGACTGAAAAGATTCGGCATGAGCCCCCGCATCCTCAGGACCTTCTATCACTGTGCCATTGAGAGCATCCTCACTGGATGCATCACCACCTGGTACGGCAACAGCACCGCCTACAACTGCAAAGCTCTCCAGCGAGTAGTGCGGTGCTCTGAACGGATAATTGGAGGTGAGCTTCCCTCCCTCCAAGACATCTACAGGAAGCGGTGCCTGAGGAAAGCGGGGAGGATCATCAAGGACTCCAGTCACCCCAGCCATAAACTGTTCAGACTGCTTCCATCAGGAAGGAGGTTCTGCAGCATCCGGTCCCGTACCAGCAGACTGAGAGACAGCTTCTTCCACCAGGCCATCAGACTGCTGAACACTTCATAGACACCTCAGCTTCACTACTGGAACTTCAACATTATGCACTCCATACTGTACAGTAATGCCACTGTTTTGCACATGTCTCAACTCTGTATATTTTTATATATTTTATTTATTGTTTACTCTATTTAATTTGTAAAATATGTGTACACACACACACACACACACACACACACACACACACACACACAGAAAAATATTTAGTATACACATCCAGAAATGCATATACTATTATATATTGTACATATATTTATTAGTTTCAGATGTAGCCATTCTTGTATTTTGCTTGTTTACATTATTGTATTTTGCACAACTCTGTTGCTTGTGAAGCTCGCACACAAGAATTTCACTCACATGTGCTGTACCAATGTACCTGCACATGTGATGTGACAATAAAAGTGATTTGATTTGATTTGTACTGTGTGTAAAATGCCATCAAAAAGTCAATTAAGTTTTATTCTTTCTCACCTGTCTTTCTGTCTCCTTTCACTTTTTAAAGGTTGCCATGTTAGAAAAAATATTTTGCCCTGCCATGCTGTTTATTGATGTGGCAAATGAATGGTTTATGAAAATATATCTAAATCTGTCATCAGTAATCAGTAATGATCATGTCTCACCTCTAGTCTTCTCTGTCTTAATTTCAGGTTTTCACCATGTGTTGTAGATAGTTCAGGAGGTTAACTCGACCAAGCAGTCTACTTTCGGGTACTGTTTAGAATACCAGAATAGGGAGGATGGTGTAGGTTTAAGTTTATTAGACTGATACTGTATATATGCACTTCACACACGTACACACACGCACAGTTCTTTGTCGCCAGAGCGCAGACATAACGGGTAGTGATGTGCAATACCACTGATTTCCTTTCCGATCCGATACCAAGTAATATTCAGGGTGGTATCAACAATACTTTGTACAAATCTTGTTTTATTTATTGTATCTCAAATTATAGCGTCATAATGATTACAGGACATCAGATTACTTGTTCTTATCACTTAATAATGCAGAGTTCATCATATAGAAATAAAAAAAACTGAAGTTGTGCGCTATTTGAACACCTTGCCTGCCTGCAGCACTAAAGGACTCCGTGAGAGACGTCTGTCTCGCCCTAGCAGCACCTGTCCCTCTCCTCCTCTTCAGTTCGCCTCAACATACGCTCGTCATATTCTGTGATATGATTTACTCTGAGGTGTTTGACAAGGTTAGTGATGTTGCCACAACCATACTTGCCAACCCTCCTGATTTTTCTGGCAGAATCCCAAATTTCAGTGCCCCTCCCAAAAATCTCCCGGGGTCACCATTCTCCCAAATTTTTCCCGATTTTCCACCTGTGACGTACTACCCGGCTTTCTTTAGACCGCAAAGGCCGGGTCCTCAGGTGGAAGCAGCCTCTGAATTTGGACACCCCCACTGTTTCCAGGCCGGCCAATAATAGCGGGGACATTTAACGTATTTCATCCGATAAATAAACACTGCAAAATGTATTTATCACCCCCCCTAACAGCCCTTTTGAATATCTCCCTAATTCTGAGGTCTCAAGGTTGGCAAGTATGGCCACAACACCTCACTCTTGGAGCACTTTTTTGCCACATGTATCGCAAACCACGTCTCAGCTGTTTGTGGAGGTAAAATACGTCCGCACATGACTCCAATTACGCTCAGCCATTGTTGTGAGTGCGCACGCCAAGCGGCTGCGAGACATTTATACAGCCGTATTTCGCACATGACTATGAAAGGCGGAAGAGGAAGTAGTTCCTTTGAATGTAGACAATCCGAATGTTATAGTTTCTTTCCACTGTGTTCCTGTTAATGATAAACTACAAATTTACTCTAAATTACTAAAATATCGATATTTTAATGTGAGAATCGATTCTAGAACATAAATGATTGGTATCGGAGGAATCGATATTTCAGGATCGATCCGCACATCACTAATAACGGGCTGGGGAAACGTGGAATAAAACACGAGGGGAAACAAGGCACAGGAACTCAGAACTATATGACTACAGATACACAGAGGGAGACACAGGAGCAAAGACACAGGAAATCTAACAACCAAGAAATAAACATAAAAACCTAGTGATTCAGACTAAACTTTAAAGTAACAAGGTGGACTCAAACCATAATACAAAAGGACAAAACACAAGAAACTGAAACCGCTGGGTCATAAGACCCAGGATCATGACACATGTCATATCTTTGGTCATCACAAGTGTTACAAACACAATAACGAATCAATAAAATGTGGCATGTCCTGATTTAATACATGGATGGCCTGACTGAGGGTAGAAGCTCCTCTTCAGCCTCTCTGTTCTTGCCCAGATGGTGGGGAACCTTCTGCAGATGGTGTAGAAACTGGACCGGTTTATTGCTGGGGTGGAAAGGGTCCTTTAGTATCTGAGCTGCTCTGGTCCTGCATCTTTTGGTGTAAATGTCCGGTAGGAAGGGGAGAGCAGCCCTGCAGCAGCGTTCTGCTGTACAGATCACTCTCTGAAGAGCTTTTTTGTCCTTAGACACAGCTGTTCCCAAACCAGGATGTGACTGTTCTGTGTGAGGATGCTCTCTACAGCGTCTGTATAGAAAGATCCTGAGGATCACTGGAGAGACCCTGAACTTCCTCAGTTGTCGTAGGTGGTATAAGCACTGCCACAAATTCCTTTTTAACATTCAATAATTATTGTTAAACATGATTTTTTTCTAAGAATGTACAACTGATTTTATATTATTTTGGGTGTACTGAACGCATCATTACAGTTTTCTTAAAATGCTTAAAAAGTGAAAGGAAGAAGTAAAAAATGATTGAGAAAGTTCATGAATGATTCATACAGTGCGACAGAAAACCTCACAGTATAAACCGTACAAAACTAATCTCACATTTTGATTAATAATACATGTGCAAACACTGGCATTCATTATGACTGATGCTACTGATTTCTAGTTCCTGTGCACAAAGAAATCTATCAGATTTTAATCAATATTTCATGTTTCCCCGTGACACCTGGCTTAAAATGATGGCATTTGATCAGTGAGTAAAGGAAAGAACAAGATGGGTTCACAAACCAATGAAAACGGTCTACTTTATCTCATTAAATGTAGCAGTGTTGTCAGCCCAAAAACTCTTCCAAATCCACAGTCCAGCATAGAGCGGCTTAGTGAATGTGGTCTGGACTCTGTGGAGGAGGGCCATGGTGTCAGAGACGCTGTAGAAAGAAAGAACACCTGCTCTAGGATCCACGTACACTCCTATTTTGGAGGACAGAGGGCCTGAGAGGGGAGTTGTGATTTTATTGTGACTGAATTTGTAGCTGTCACCGTAACACTCTAATGCCCAGGATTTATTGTTACTTCCAAAATCACTTTGATCCAGTTTATTTTTATTCTTGTACGTCACAGCAACTGAAAGGCCTTTCCCTTTCATCTCCACCTCCCAGTAACAAGGTCCAATCAGACTCTCCTTACTCAGGGCCTGCTGGTGGTGGGAAAACCTGTCCCTTTTTTTATATAGGAAATATTTGGATTTGGAGCACTGTCTGTACGGTTCTGTTCTGATTAGACAGGAAGAGATTTTTGTGACTGTATCTGAGATCCAGTCAGTTGACATGAATGTTTTAAAAAGTCATCTCTGGTCTTAGGTTCATTTGTGGCAATAAAACATCCACTGATCTCACTGTCAGGGTGATCTTCCTCCATTCCTCACTAGAAATGCTTTGAGATTTTCTCTGGCTTCTAACAGTCTGTTTGCAGATCCTCAAAGTACTTAACCTGACACATTTTAAAGCTTGGTGAATCTGTATGAGTCATGAATAGGCATTGTGGAGTAACTTAGTAGAAATTCGGTGTGGTCCTCTGTGCGTGAAAGCTGCTTCAGCTCCTCTTCTTTCCTCCTCAGCTCAGTGATCTCCTGCTCCAGCTTCTTCTGAAGCTCTTCGACTCGACTCTTTCTCAGTTTCCTGCTGGGATTTGATCTGCTGCTTTAGATTTGAGCCTTTTTCTTTAATATAACTCAACAGCTCATCGATGATGGCATCACTGTCTTCAATTGTTTTATCAGCAGACAGTTTGATCCCCTCCATCTCTTTCTCAAGCACTTCACCTTCCTCCATTCTGGTCTGAATTTTCTTCTGGACTTCCTGCAGATTCATCTTAAGGTCTTTGTCTTTTTCTGCCCTTTCAACTTCAACTGGAACTGTTACATGGCGTTTATGTTTGTCCAGGCAGCAGACATAACAGATACACTGCTGATCAGTAATGCAGAACATCTTCATCACCTCATTATGAGTTGAACAGATGTTCCCTTTCAGCCTGTTCGATGGTTTGACCAGCTTGTGTTTGTCAAAGGCAGAGGAGTCATAGTGAGGCTGGAGGTGTTGCTCACAGTAAGAAACCAAACATACCAGACAGGACTTCACTGCTTTCAGCTTCTCTTCAGTGCAGACATCACAGGAAACATCTTCAGGTCCAGCATAGCAGAGATCAGCTGAAGCAGCTTGGTGTCCAGATATCTTCAAGTCCTCTACTAACTCTGCTAACATGCTGTTTTTCTCCAGCTCAGGCCTCGATATGAAACTCTTTGTGCACTGAGGACAGCTGTAGGCTCCTTTTGGATCCTCATTATTCCATTGTCCTTTAATACAGCTCATACAGTAGTTGTGTCCACAGGGAATAGTCACCGGATCCTTCAGTAGATCCCGACAGACTGAACAGTGGAATTTTACTGACTTGCTTCCTTGTTGTGCCATTCTGTGTGATGAGGTGAATGCCAAATAGTTTCACTGTGAAAAGAAGACGCATGTATCAGGTCATTCCAGAAAGGCATACGTCACACTCTTAATTATCCACCCACTATCTTCTGGTTATTCAAAGTTGGTCCACAGTGACATCAGGCTATTCCAGGTTTTCGGATCCAACTGAGGGATCCCAAAGTATTCTCAGACCACACAAGACATATGATCTCTGCAGCAGGTTCTGGTTCTACTCCAGAAAGCCCTCAAAACCATACAGCATACTTTGCAAGTTTGAACAAACTGCCTTCCCACAGGTCTGCTTCATATGCTGGGATATGCAGAGTAAGCTACACAAACTACAGCTACTAGCTGTAAAATGAATATAAACTCTCATTGTTATTCACACATTAAAAACAGAACAGCTCATTTTTTGTTGCTCCTGCTAAACTCATTAACTGATTCAAACCAGAGTGTGAAAACACTGACAGTCATTGAGAAAACCCAGAAAAACTCTTTACCTGATTCACTTTATATTTTGCAGGTGTTTTGTTGGGCACCTCAGTAAAAGCGCAGCACCAATTTTAGAATGAACAATTCTCATATTATTCTTATATTTTTTTTCCTTAGTGTGAATACTACCCGCTCCATTCTCTATGGGGCTGAGGTCACATGAATATTAAAAAAACAGGAAATACCATTTGGGTTTGGTACATCACCACTTGAGCAATCGCTAGTGATGAGCTCCCCAACTCTCTGTGAATGGTACTCATGGCCACTGATCAGTGGTTGTTGATCAATGGTCATGAGAATTTGCATAATTATGATTAAGGAACTGACCTCCCAGCCCATTGTTCCTTCAGTGGGCTGGTTTCAGTCATTATGCAAATGTACTGTTTATAAGATTGGGGAAACCTGCAGTCAGCTGAGACTGAAGAAGTCACTTGGATGAGTGACGAAACGTTTCTCCCACAAAACGCTACGTCCAGATGAACAGAATCAACTTTTGGAGATTTACTTTCCTGGATGATTGAGAATGCATCAAGATATTTGATTTCATGCAGAAATTAAAGCAGAGTGAAGTGATGAGTGATGGACTGCTTGTTGTAATTAAAAACAAAACAACAACACACATTTCAAAGTAAAAAAGTAGTAGCTCTTCATGGGTCTCTGATGCCAATATTTATCAAGTAAAACATAATTAAAACATTAAAAGCTTTGCATTGTCACATGATGGCCTGTGGTGGAATAAAATCAATCATTTTCAGTCCACATGAAAAGAAGAGACCATTTTTTTCAGTTTGTATAATAAATAAATGTCTCAACCTTAATGTTTCTTCTAAGTGGTGTTTTACATATTTGCCACATAAGCAGGAAGTCAGGAAGGACACCAGTGTAAAAATCAGTTAAATGAAAAATGTGGACCGACCTGTTGTGGCCACTCCTGTGACAAAGGGAGCACGCAGAAGAAGCTATCATAGATCATCTACTTGTTGCATTGACACAAGAATCATTGAGTGTCCAAAACATTGATTTATTTATGACCGGTTACATCTTTTAATATTACCATTATGTAATAATATCATATATTATTACAAATATTTAAAGAAAAACAAAAATGCTTAATAAGTGCTATTAATCAAGTATTGCTGTCTGTTTGTCTCTGAAACAGAGGTTAGATTTGTGCATTGGACCTGTGGATTAAACTTGTTTGAAATAAATAAACAACTACATAGAAGTATTTACTTACCAGAAATCATGCGTCCTGCTTTCTTCACAGGTCGGATGGGACTGACTGTGTCTGACAAATACATTCCTCGAGACTCCTCCTTTGAGACGCAGGAGTTGCCAGACTGGGCCCATGAACTTTAAACGCTGTTGTGTATGAGCAACAAGTATGGTACTGCATATGCAGCATTTAAACCGATTCAATACCAAAATTACACAAATAAACATTACAAACCTGAATTTACACTAAACTGATTTCTTTTGTTTCTCATATTCAGAGTAGTTGGATATTTATGTCTTAATTCAGCAACCTGTCAAAATTAGTGGTTGATTTTTATTTTGTATGGCCAGGCTGAGAGGGCGGGCAACTGTCTTATTGGTGAGCCCATCAGAGGTGTCTAGAACATCTTACAGTTTTATGACAGAACATGTAACATTAAACTATTAACCAGCGTTAGTCACCTGTTGTTATTACTTTAGGGTCAGAATAAATGGCCAAATATGGTGAAACCTGCTAATGTGCCATTTTAGAGATCAATCGTATTCTTACAGCTGTTGTCATGGTGCCTGTGCCTGCCCGGCCAGCCCAGTGTGGCTACAAATGTTTTTGTTATTGCTTTGTCTTTTCTCTCTCTCTCTCTCTCTCTGCCTGGGTGGAGCTGAGCTCCCGCCCTTGGGCCATGCACCTGCAGCTGATCACCTGTGATTCTGAATTTGTTTGCTGGCTCTTCTTAAGGCAGGGGGGCTGAGCTACTCGTCGCTGGAATATTGAGTAACTTTAGTTAGTAATACCCGACTCTGCAGAATTCAGTCGTTTCTCATGCTCGCTTCGGAGTAACCCTCATTTCTGTGAATTGGTTTCCCGCTTCTACTCCGTACCATGACCATGGACTACTGAGTGTGATTATGTGGAGGAGGAGTGGAGCGAGTGTGAAGGCTTTGTGTTTTCCAGACCCTGGTGTCCCCCCCCCTCCCCCCGTGCATATAGTGCACCCGGTGTGGATAAATAAAGAACTGTTTAAATCCCATCTCTCAGTCTGTGCCTCAGTCCGCTCCATCCCCATGACAGCTGTCCTCTTTTTCAAAACAGTAAAGTAATCAGTTTGGTTGTCTCACATTTAAATGGCCATCTTTTACTTAATTATATCCTCCACAAAGGATATCACCTAGCTGGTTATCTACGACTTCATCTCCCAGGGCTGCTTTTGTCT